TGAATATGTTTTAGTCATGATCTGTGTTTTTTCATTGGACTAAAGCTTTCCCTTGTAGAAAGTCTACTGACTCTTCTGTGGCTAAAGTCCTTTTGGAAAAGACTACCCCTGCCTGAGGAACCCCACTCTTGCACTTGAGAGTGAAGGGGGAATCCACGTTACTGGTCAAGGGCTTTGACAAGTCTGTGTTGTTTGGCTGGTTTTACAACACTTTCATTGTGCTTACCATCATCAATCCTCAGGTTTAGTTGAGCATACAGGATGATTAAAATTTAATTGGCAAAGTATGTAGAAACCCGCTAAATACTTTGGCCAAGCCCTGATTAGGTAGCTCAGTTGGTTAGAGCATCATCCCCATAGGCCAAGGTTGTGAGTTTGATTTTTGATTAGGATACATATAAAAATCAGCCAATAAATGCATAAATAAGTGGAATAAAAAAATGTTTATCTAAAACAATAAATAAATATATTGGCCAAAAGCACTGCTGTTGATGCTTCTAAATCTCAGATCCACCCTACTTGAAACTCAAATTCTTACCCTTTAAGATAGTCATGGGGTGCCCAAAGCACCTGGCCCCTGCCCCTTCTGATCCACAACTGATAAAAGGAGATATACTTCAATATTATAAAGACCTAATTGCTTCTATCAAAATTGTCCTTGTACAGCAATCTTTTCACAGTATTCTCAGGGAGATAAAGACCTTAAGCAACACACTTTGCAACTTGGAGATTAGGTGTATTGAAGAAGACAAATCCAGAAAGACCCTCTTCAACCTATCGGGTAGTGCTAACCAACCCTGGTGCCACCAAACTCCAGGAAATAGACCCCTGCATTTATTGGACACATCTAGAGAAAACACCTAACCCTGATTGTACCTGTGCACTATCTGGTGACCAGAAGGTGAAGATTTGAAATTCACAGAAGTCTCTATTTTATCTAGACTCAATCAGCAATACTTTCTGTGATGCTTTTGGAGAACAATCTTGATCAAAAAGGGGAAATGTGAAAAAATAATGAACAGAAATGGAGTTGGGAGGCTAGAATTCTAATGCACTTAATGTGCACTACTGACCCCAACAGGAAGAGATGTACCTTGCATCTCCAATAGGAAGTGATATTACTATACTACCTCTGCAGAAGAAAAGGTTCCTCCTTGCCCAGTACAGCTCAGCTAATGGAGACTGCCATAGTTAGCCACCAAAGTCACTATACTATGAACTTTCAATCTCCTCCAATGAACTCTGCTTACAACAGCCCTACCAAGTCCATAAAAGAGCATTACTCTCCTTTGTCTCTCTGGAATTACACATGGTTCACCATTAGACCACCAAAATTGCATTCTTTGTTGTTTCTGAATAAACTCATTGTGCTTAAGAAATATCTGTCACTTGGGGTGGTGAACACACAATACAGTGTACAGATGATGTCTTGTGGAACCGTGACCTGAAACCTGTATAATCTTGTTAACTAGTGTCACCCCAATAAATTCAATAAAGAGAAAAAAAATAGAAAAGAATGGATGTAATAGAAAAAAAGGATAAAAATGATAATCCATGTAGAGAGAACTATAAAAAAAAAAAAAAGAAATATCTGTCAACAGGACATATGGTTTAAAACTCAGAAGTGTCATGTGGCTACAAGTTGAAGGAGTTGCATATAACAGCACAGGGGTATTAAAGATCCGGGCAAAGATGAGTCCCTTCAAAGTTAAGTGCATTAAAATTAAAATCAAAGGCCCAGTCCGGTCAGTGTGGCTCAGTGGACTGAGCATTGTCCAATGGACTGAGAGGTCCCAGTTTGATTCCTGGTCAGGGCGCATGCCCAGGTTGTGGGCTTGATCCCCAGTGCGGGGCGTGCAGGAGGCAGCCAATCAATGTTCTCTCTCATTGATGTTTTTATCTCTACCCTTCTGTCTAACAAATCAATAAAAACATATTTAAAAAATAAAATAAAATAAAAGGCCTAAAGATGGAGTCCTTGGGAACTCTAATATTCAGGCAGAAGAAACACAATCAGAATGAAAAGGCAACCTACTTACTGAATTGGAGAAAATATTTGCAAACCATATTATCTGATAAAGGGTTAGTCTCAAAATATATAAGAAACTCCCATAACTCAACAGCAAAAACTATTAACCCATTAAAGGGCAAAGAACATGAATAGATCTTTGTCTAAGGAAGAAATACAAATGGGCAAATATGTTATTTGCAAATAGGCATAGGAAAATATGCTCAATGTGACAGATAATCAGGAAATGCCAACAAAAACCATCAGATACCACCTTATACCTGTCAGGATGGCTATTATCAAAACTGCAAGAGACAGTGTTGGCAAGGATCTGGAGAAATTAGACTCCTTGCACTCTGTTGGTATGAATGTAAAATGATACAGCTCTTATGAAAAACAGTATTCCTCAAAAAATTAAAAATACTACCACCATATGATTCAGCAATCCCACTTCTGGGTATTTAGCCAAAAGATTCAAAATCAGGATCTCAAAGAGGTATTAGCACTCCTGTTTGTTGCAGCACTATTCACAATAATCTAGATGTGGAAATAAAAGTCTACTGATAAAGAAAATGTGTGCCCTGGCCGGTTTGGCTCAGCAGTTAGAGCGTCAGCCTGTAGTCCTGAGAGACCCGGGTTTGGTTCCCGCTAAGGGCGCGTACCTTGGTTGCAGTTTGTCCCCGGCCCTGGTCGGTCGTGCGGGTGGCAGCCACTCGATGTGTTCCTTTCACATCGATGTTTCTCTCTCTCTCTCTGTTCCTCTCTCTCCCTCCCACTCTACCTGAACAAAAAATGGAAAAATGTCCTCGGGTGAGGATTAAAAAAAAAAAGAAAATGTGGTATATGCACATAATGGAATACTATTCAGCCCTATAAAAGGAAATTCACAATATGCGAAAACATGGATGACCCTTAAAAGTACTACACTAAGTGAAACAAGCTAGTCACAGAAAGTCAAATAGTGGATGATTCCACTTACATAAAGCATCTAAAACAGTCTAATTCAGCCCTGACTGCTGTGGTTCTGTTGGTTGGCCTCGTCCCGTGCACTGAAAGATTGCTGATTTGAATCCCAGTCAGGGAACATGCCAGGGTTTTGGGCTCGATCCCCGACAAGGGCTGTGCAAGAGGCAGCAGATGGATGTCTCCTTCTCACATCTATGTTTCTCTTTGTCTCCCTTCCTCTCCCTCTAAAAGTCAATAAAAAACGTTTAAAATAGTCCAATTCATAGAATCCAAAAATAGAATGGTAGTGATCAGGGCCTGGGCACCGGGGTGGGGGTGGGGGTGGGGAATGAAACTTACTAATCAATAGGCATAAAATTTCAGTTAAGCCACATGAGAAAGCCTAGAGCTCTGTACAACATTGTAACTATAGTCAACAACAATATAGTGTATATTTAAAATTTTGTTGAGGATACAGCTCATGTTAAGTGTGTGTGTGTGCATGAGAGAAGAGAGAAAGAGAGATGCAAAGGATTGAGACAGACAATCCAGAGGTCTGAGTCTTAAGAAGAAAGCTTCAATGGAGTTCTTAATATCACCATCAAGTCATAAAAAGTAGAAATGAAGAGTTCCAACTGTATTTGGCTACAGTATGAGCTATGATGACCTTAGTCCTTTCTGGAGTAATATAAGAGAAAGTCATATGCTAGTGGGGTAAATATGGGAAGGAAATATTAGTTGAGTGCAGCAAATTCTTTCAAACTTTGTTGAAATAATGGATTATCTTTGCTGTACTACTTTGTGGTATAATAAACTTCTAATGCATTCTTTAGGGAAGATTTAGCAGGGGCTAATAGTTTGCTTACTCCTAAAATAGACCTAAGAACCCTGAAAAACAAGGTAAAAAGAACATAAGTTTACCAAGTTTTTAAAAGGCGTATTCAATAAACAGTATTATAAAACTTTCAGTTGGCAAAACAAAAACAATTGAGTTGTTATACTGTGAAGGTGATGCTTATGTGATAGAGGTTTATCTTTGGACAAGAAAATCACTGGTAACTTGACAACTGACTAAAGATACATAGCTCAAACCAATCACTTAGTTGGGAAATTAGATGGTGAAGAAGTCAAAAGCCTCACTCAGGAAAGAATTGTTGGTCTCTTTATCACAGGAAATGTTTGGGAAAAAACACAACATCTAATAGAATATTGTGTTAGATGAATACATTTTTTTAAAAAAAACTGCATTGGTAGCCCAGCTGGAGTGGCTCTGTGGTTGAGCTGATATCAACCCATGCACCAAGTGGTCAGAGGTTTGATTCCTGGTCAGGGCACATGCCCGGGGTTGTGGGTTTGATCCCTGCTAGGGGATATGCAGAAGGCAGCTGATTGATGTTTCTCTCTCAAAAAAAAAAAATCAATAAAAACAAACATACAAAAAACAAAGAAACTGTTTTGGGTTGCTGTACTTATTTGAAATTAATACCATTATCCATATTAATATTTTGCCAAATAACAAAGTAATATAACTTTTCTTGTATTGTTTTTTTTTTTTTTTTTTTATCCTCACCCGAGGATATTTTTCCATTTTTTGTACAGATAGAGTGGGAAGGAGAGAGAGGACGGGAGAGAGAGAGAGAAACATCGATGTGAAGGGACACATCGAGTGGCTGCCACCCACGCGACCAACCAGGGCCGGGGACAAACTGCAACCGAAGTACGTGCCCTTAGCGGGAACCGAACCAGGGTCTCTCCGGACCGCAGGCCGACGCTCTAACCGCTGAGCCAAACTGGCCAGGGCTCTTGTATTGTTTTTACCTAACCTGTATTGATAGACTACTGAAGGGTACCTAAAAAAAAATCTTAAGAAGCAAATGAGCAGGGTTATGAACCAATTTCAATTTAAATGTCAACTGTTAGCTATAAAAATTTGAGAGTAAATCCTCAAGAAAACATTATTTGAAGTAGAGTTGTCCTAAGATAATGCACACAAACCAACATAGTCTATTTATTAAAAATATTTAATGCTGCCAAAAAGTATAAAAATACAGTAGGAATGGCAGTACAATACAAAGTAGTCTCTCCTAATTTATTTCTTTTACATCTTTCCACATTTCATACACGCATTAAAAAACTTAACAATACATCAAATTAGAGGGTTCTGCAAAGTCTTCTGCTGGTGGTGCTCTTCTTTCCCTGGATGTAAAGTTTACTTTGTAAACAGACAAATGTGAGGCAATCTATAGGTTTATCAAGCCTCACATTAGTTTCCGGAGTGGGCTTCAGGTCTTGCTTTGCACATCAATGGTTCAAAATTTATAGCTGCAGAATATTCTCAAGTCATGAATATTTAGGTGTCTGTCAATCTTGGCCTAAAACATAAAATAAGAAGTCATCTATTCAATTCGTATTTACCAAACACACAGACGTACATAGATATACACACAAACATAAAAGGACTAACAATGAACTAAAAAGGCAACCAAAAACATTCCAACATATCACATTCAACCATACTAAGTGCTTTACTGTTATCTTGGTAAAATTGCTTAAATGCTAGATTTTCAAACAGAATTGGTGGTGTGAGGTAGACTCATATTAAAGCACCATAACTCACAATGTTTTTTAAGAATTACTAACTATGAATTTTTTGGGTCTTTCTGTATTACTGAAGAAATGACCTCCAAGTGAGATACTGAACAGACACAGGTTTTTAAAAAATGTACCCACAACAGTTTAGCAAGATTTATCTATGTGCTAGACTTACCAATACTTTGGCATTCATTTAAAAAGTGTAACCCAATTTGGACAGCCACTGTATCATACTGCTAAAAATATTATGAATGTAATGTCTGAACATAAAGTTGGCTTATATCTTTAAATCATGGACTGTTGTTAGCAGCATGCTTTTTTGTCCTGAAGATAATACTAATGATTATAGCAATATAAATTGGTGATACAATTTAGTTACTATCAATATAAAAGAAAACACAGACATAAAGTAATTGATTTATTGTATTTTAATGCCAAAAAGTAAAAATAAATGAGAGTTTAAACAAGCAATATACAGATGAAATAACTATTTTAGGGGCAGTTAAATTTTTGATGTTATTTCACAATGTTTGCAAATGGCCAGACTTTTCAGATAAGTGGTATTTCCATTCTTCCCCCAACTTCTCTCACTACAAAAAAAAAACACCCCAAAATCTAAGTACTTGTCATTATTGTATCCCACATACATAAACAGGAAATATATGCCACATCCACATATTTATCCAAAATATTTAGTCAAAATACCATGAGTGGCCCTTCTCTTGACTACTGGCTTCTTCTACTGAAGGAAAGAAGAACAGTACCAAGCACCTTGGTGTTCTGAATACCTGCTTTCTCTGATTTTCCAACACTGACAGAGAAATGTGAGCTCATCAAGTAAACATTCTCATTAGATGTCTGTGGGTCACAAAAACTACTATGACTGCTTATTGCAGGGTTCAAGAGAACGCTGAACCCAAGTGGTTTAAGGAAAGGTACTATTGATTCTGACTGCTACAAAATACATATTTCCCACACATTCAGAATACTGTTCACTGAAACAAAAGAACTTAATCCAACCAAAGTGAATAAAATAATGGTTTAGAGACTATTTTGATGTTCCAGTATTCCTCTGGTCCAGTGGTAGTTCAAACTGTTTCACAAGTTTTTTTGGAGGGAAAAACTTTCTCTTAATAGAGGGTTACTTTACATTTTAACAAGTAAAAGTAGGTATCTAATGTTTTCCCATCTAAATATCTGATTTAAATATTGCATAACATCAGAGTCAGTGTGACATAATGGAAATATTATGAGGCCTGGAGTTAATGGAATTCTAAAGATTGGAGTTTGAATCTCAGCTGTCATGTACCAGCTGAGCAATCTTGTACAAGGTACTTATTCTTTGACTTGGTCTATTACCTCAAAATAGGGGTAATGCAATGTATCTAGAAGAGGTATTATGGGGGTTAAATTTAGATTATGTACTTAAACCGATTGGCAGAACTGGAGGTATTCAATATACAATGTTGTCTTCCCCAACTGGGTATTAAAGGTACACTTACCAAGAAAAACTACCATTTACAACAACTAAAAGAAACTGACAGCCCAGCCAGTTTGGCTCAGTGGATTAAACATCGTCACATGGACTGAAAGGTCCTGGGGTTCCATTCCCGGTCAGGGCACATGTCCAGGTTGTGGGCTTAATCCCCAGTAGGTGGCATGCAGGAAGCAGCTGATCAATGTTTCTCTGTCACATTGATGTTTCTCTCTCTCTCTCTCAAAAAAATTAATAAAAACATATTTAAAAAAGTAACAAAAACACTGACAGTGTTTCTAAAAATTCACTTATTTTTTTCTTTGTAAGTATTTTTATGCAGGACAAGAAAACAAGATGAAATCAACGAGAATGTTAATTATTTTAAAAGACTATTTGGCCCTGGCCAGTTTGGCTCAGCTGTTAGAGCATCGGCCTGTGGTCCAGAGAGACCCAGGTTTGGTTCCCGTTAAGAGCACATACCTCAGTTGAAGTTTGTCCCTGGCCCTAGTTGGGTCATGTGGGTGGCAGCCACTCGATGTGTCCCCTTCACGTCAATGTTTCTCTCTCTCTCTCTCTTTCTCCCTCCTACTCTATCTGAACAAACCAATGGAAAAATGTCCTTGGGTGAAGATTAAAAAAAAAAAAAAGGACTATTTGCAAGACCTGAAAGACAAACAGACTTCATTTTAGGGAAGGGGAATAAAGTTCATCTGAATCATTTTTCACTATTTTATTTAACAAGACAAAAATAAAATCATTTCAAACACATCAAGGGGAATTAGCCCACTTGGTGCTTCCTCTGGACAAGTAGCCTTCATATACTGCCAACTGTCCTAACAGTGGAATGGATATAAGACCTGGGTTTTTAGAGAGTAAAATCTTCCCAAGCAGGCTCCACACCTGAAGTAACAGAAAATCAAAACTGCACCCAAATAGTTTTGTTACCAAAATAATAAAAACTTCTCTAAGGTGAGTAAAGTATTGCCTTATAAACAAAATTAACTTACCTCGTTTCCCTCTCCTGAATTCATCAAATTCAAAATAACTTTTTTTATAGTAGAAGTTTGAACTATCAACACCATCATGTCTCTAAACCATCTATGTCAACTTAGAGCACCAAGAAAGAATTGGGTTTTCTTTAAGAGATGGTTTCTATAAAGAAGACAATTTCCTAAGCAATTCTCCTTATAGCTTCCTCAAACATACTATGTAATGGAAAACCAGACAATATTAAAATCAACTCTGTAATATCCTAATTCCCATAATTCTCATATTCCATTCAAAATGATAAAACCAATATAGAAAGAGTTTAAAAAGTTGAACTTTCCATTCTCCCAATGGACCACACAGAGATGGTCAGAACTCTTAAATGTTTTCACTATAAGTTGTTCAGGCTGTTACCGATCAAGACAAAGCCTCTCAAACCAATCAGTGGCTTCGTCTGATCCGCTGCTTACATATGACAATGTGCTGTGATGGAGTAAACAGCATACAAAAGGATCAGCATTGACTGTGAGGAAAAATTCTCCCCAAAGAAGTTTCTAGAATCCAGTAGCCAAAGGAGATAACTCTTTCTCTGAAGAGTGTTGAGAGAACACACTTGTGCAGAATTGCTCAGAGCTGTTCTTGAAGCAATCTGAATGTGGTCAATATTCCTACTGTTGAGGGAAAAATGAGATAACCAAACTCATACCATTTCCCTAGAAGGTTTTTCTTCAGAACACTAAGTGGGTAGCATAAAATTTGCAGATCTTAAAAGCTTAAATTCCCAAATCTGGATGAACAATGAAATGGCTTCATTATAGCCAGGTACAAGGAATATAGCCAGTGAGTACAGGATACCTGGGTGGAACAAACACTGTGGACCTGAATTTCTTCCCAGCAAGGCATGTTATCACTTACACATATTCAATAAAACAACAGATGGCTGGAATTTCTAACACATCCATTGTTGTAGGGGTTGTTGGGAATGCTGTCCCATAAAGTGTTCTGAAGATAGGTATAAGGAAAAAATGGAATCAAATCCAAACAAATGAACTAGGGGAAACAATTGAAGAAACAGGTCAACTCTGGAATAAATTATCCTTATGACTAAGACCTGTATTTTTTTTTTTTTTTTTGGTGGCACATGCCCCTAGCGGGAACCGAACCCAGGACTCTCTGGTCCATGGGGCGATGCTCAACCACTGAGGCAAACTGGCTAGGGCTGTATTTTAAGTCAGGAGAATTTCATTTTATTATGTGAAAAACAGTGTTTCTATTTTTCAAAATTTTATCTATAAGATTTTGTGCTCCTACCATCTAAGTAAGTCAAAGCCAAACAAGGGTTTCCTTCCTTTCCTTTCCTTCCTCCCTCCCTCCCTCCTTCCCTCCCTCCTTTTTTATCCTCACCTGAGGACATTTTTGCAGTTATCTTCAGATAGAGCGGGAGGAGAGAGGGGGGAAGAGAGAGAGAAACATCGATGTGAGAGAGACACATCGAGTGGCTGCCACCCACACAACCCCAACCGGGGCCGGGACAAACTGCAACGGAGGTACATGCCATTAGCAGGAACCGAACCCAGAACTCTCTGGTGTGTGGGCCGATGCTCTAACCTGAGTTAAACTGGCCAGGGCCTAAACAAGTAAAAGAAACTTAATTCGCTGCTCATGTAGAAATGAGAACACAGGAGCACAGAACAAACATTTCTGCTCTTAGTTCCAGATCAGGATCAATGCATCAAATTCTAACCTCGGTCACCCTCCACCTTCTGCTAGTGTGCAGCAGATTGAGAGATCCACACTCTACCCCACTGACAAACCCATGTGGACTCACTGGAAGAAAAAATAAATCAATGTTGACAGGTGTTAATTCCTAGACTCTTGCCTGAACACAGAAATAGATGATATACATAAAAAGCATTAGACTTACAATAAACTACATTTAAAGAAAATCTGTAAGATTTGTATCTGAAAGTAAAAATCAAGGACAATTAGATTTTAAAATCTGTATCATAACCAGGCAAGCACTTTGGAAATTTAGGTTGTCATTAAAATAAGAGTGTATAATGGTTAATAAAAATATTTCTAATATAATCAGGTTCTGGTCTGTGTTTATATAGAATCTAATAAGAGACATTTTTCTAAGAGGGAAATGATTTGCACAAGGTTAAATTTTCATTGAGAGTTACCTAATTCTAAAATAAACTATACACATGAGACTTTTCAAAGATAGCACCATGAAAGAATGTAGAAATGTAAAGTCTCAGGCTGATTATGGCTTAATAATAGCACCACCTACCTCAAAAGCTTGTTGTGAGGATTAAATAGGATAATATAACATATGAAAAGTGCTTAGTACAGTGCTTGGCACACAGTAAACGATCAATAAATGGTAGCAACCATCACTTTGAATTGATGCTGAAAACAAAGAAGGAATTGAGATTAAAACGGAATGACTGCTCCATGTCATAAACTATTTTTTAAACCAATATGTATTTTTTTTATTCACACCATCAATTCTAATTTATATAAAACAAGTGTACATAAAATTAAGAGTTACAACTCCTTCCTCTGACATACCTGTTAAGCAGAGCTACTTTTTGTTTTTTAAATCAACAAGTTTTCTACTTCCTTTCTCTTTTCTTGTTCCTTCCTTGGTAGATATACTAATACACAGTGAAATGGACCAAAAAGATAGAAAAGGACAGAGCTAATATATAAAATATTCTCTAAACATGAGAAATGGTCTTCATATCATTCTGAAATTATCTATTACATTTTTTAACCCTCTAAGAATTCAGATAAAGGGTATTTTAATTTTACATATAAATAAATGATATATGGAGGATTATATTTTTACATATTATATATGTACAAGCATAGATAAAAATCAGTGTAAGATAGCATAAAATACTGGGCGAAACTTGAAAACAAGTGTATGCCCAGTTGGTGTAACTAGAGAAGCTGGCATTGAACCAAAGGCCCTGTCAGTTTATCAGCAGGGATAAATATAAACACAAATGAACTGAATATTATTGCAAATATCCTTTTTAAAAAAATCCTCACCAGAGGGTATTTTCCCATTTATCTTCATTCAGAATGTGTGTGTGTGTGTGTGTGTCGGGGGGGGGGATATCGATGTGAGAGAGGCACATCGATTAGTTGCCTCCCACATGACCCCAACCGGTGCCAGGGATCAAACCGCAACTGAGGTACGTGGCCCTTGACAGGAATCAAACCCGTGACTCTTTGGTCTGAGGGCCAGCACTCCAACAACTGAGCCAAACTGGCCAGGGCTTTTCTTAATGTAAATAATAAAACCTCTAGCTTTAAAAATATCTTCTTTTTGCCCTGGCTGGTTTGGCTTAGTGGTTAGAGCATCTGACCTTGGACCAATGTGTTGTGGGTTTGATTTCAGTCAAGGGCACATACCTTGGTTCACCCCTGTGCGGCAGACGGCCAGTCAATGTGTCTCTCTCACATTGATGTTTCTCTCTCTCTCTCCCCCTCCCTCCCACTCTACCTGAGGAAAAATGGAAAAATATCCTCAGGTGAGAATTAAAAACTAAATTAAATAAAAATATCTTCTTCGTTAACCTATTAAAAATAATTCTACTTCATTAAAGTCAAACTGTACAATTGACTTTTAATATCTGCTATAATTAGAAAATACTATGAAGACCTAAGGACATGCAAATTTTGTAAACATGTAGAACCCATCATGGATTAGTAACTTTTCCCTCAGGTTGTTACCTGAAAAGGCAGGAGCCATGTCTATTTCCTTCTCTCTGACTAGAACGCCTCATTCAATAAGGGGTCAGGATGACGACCATAGGTACCACAGTACATTGCCACATATTTTCAGTAATTAGTACACGGTACCCATCAAAAAAATTATTATTGTTAAAAACTTAACACAGAGTCCTCAAGGACCTGCTTGGAGGAGGTAAGATGACTAACATTGCAGGAGTTCATCAACAACTATTTACTACACTGACTATAATTTCAAAAATATATTATAACAAACACCACCCAGATGGACAAGAAAAGAGACAAAAAGCAAAGCCGCAACACTGAATGCAATGAAACTCATTCTCCTGCACTGGGTCAGAGTGCATCATTATCAACATTTGTTTTACATAAGAAGTCTTCACCTTTTTGTTTAAAGCAAGGCTATCTTCAAATGGAAATTTAATATTTCTAGCCATATCTGAGTTACAGAATTAATACACTGTATTTTAACAAAGCAAGGCAAGTTGGAAAGAAAGATTTTAAACCAATAATGAACTAAAAACAGAGATCTTGGTGCCTGGACACAGATTTAATGCAGACAGACAGAGAAAAATGTCCCTCTTACCTCTTTTCCATTTAAAGGTTACAGGACACAGTAATACTGATTTAGGACACAGGCAGAAGTTTATTTAATATGTAGTACCACCTACTTCCTGCTTTCATACTTGTGGCACAATTTAACACATTCCAGAAGGCTACTCAAATCAATTAAAACATCTATCTGTACCAATGGTTTTCAAACTGTTTTGAAAATTATAACCGACTCCTTAAAATAATTAAACTTCATGCAGAAATCTTATGTAGTGTATAAAAGAGATAGAGGAGAGAGAGGTCCAGTTGAAAGTACAGGCTGGTAGCTTAGAGTCTTTCCTACCACTTCTTGGTGACCCCTTAAAAATCTAGTAAGCATTGTTTGAAAACCACTGAAATGTTATTTTAGCAATTAAATTTATGACAACTATTTAAAATTTAAGTTAAATAAGTTGAACACATAATAGAATGTTGGGGTCTGAAGAAAGCTACCATTCAAGCAACAGTTAAATTCATTAACCAATATTAAGAAGTTAAAGGGACAATGTAAGGTTTGTACATCATCATACTATTTATTCAAATAGAAAGAACTTAGATATTTTTATTTCAAAACTTCAGTCTAGTATTCTAAAATCGTGGCAGTAAAATGCTGCTCCTTAATTTTATTTTCTAAGTTATGATTTACCCCAATTATAAATTAGGATAGTTATACTGACATCTTCATGAAAAATAAAAAGTATTAATAACAGGCTTTACAGAAACCAATTTCTTTACAAAGTCTTGACCAACTGTGTTACTTATGTCATAGTAAGCGTAAGCATAACTATGTTAGTAAGGAGAATTTTCTTTCAAAGATATTTTTAGGGTAAATTTCTGTTTCTGTTTTTCTTTTTAAAATTAGAAAAACTGTACATAAAAGAAATGCATATATATGGTTAAAAAAATGTTTACTCAGAGGTCTAACTGCTCAAATTTCTCTATGAAAATTTATCCAGTACAATTGAATCAACATACAATTTTTTTATGATAACAAATTTTTCATATTTAGCTTTCTAAAAAAGCACATTTAACTACAAAAGTAAGATTAAATACTTATAAAATATATTTACCCTGAAATGGATAAAAATATAAATTATTGATGTTCATGTCAATAGTACATTTATACATTACACACATTATTTAAAAGTAATTTTCTTTTCAGTAATAATGTAGATAAAACCACAATATTTATTGCTTGTATCAAGTGCAGGTTAAAATCCAGATAACCTCAAAAACCTTGTGATAAAGGATATTTCTCAATCTGGTCAGGTGAAATATTACACTTAACGTGTATGCATACAGTTGCAAAATGTACCAGTTTTTAACAGGCATTAAAATCTTTATTTTAGATCATTGTTTACAATTTGGGGGCAGCACCTCGGTATTTTGGGATGAGGACCGAATATATCATTTATCTGGTTGGTGTCTATTCTACTGCTGTTTTGAGGGTATGATGAGTTTGCTAACAAAAAAATCCTTGTGATTAATGCAACACTGTCAGCTGTTAGTGCAGAAGCTTACTGGGCAAAATTGTTTTATTTATAGGACATTTTGCTAAAAAAAAGTGTCCAGCCAACAAAAGCGCTAACCAAAATGACTGACACAAACCCCATCTTAGTGAGAATAGGTTGCCAATATAACCACCTTTTTCTTTTTCGTTCAGTCTCATTTAGCCTCTGTTTCATCTGCTGCACCTTCTGAGCTGTGTTAGCTTTTCTGTCTTCTCGAATTCGTTTCCGTAGAATGCTATGAATAAATAAAAACAAATGATTAAGAAGTGCTTGGCAGGACCTAATTACTCTAATACAGAGGACCTAAGCTCAAATATTTACCCCCACACATTTTCAACTCATTCAAACACAAAATTTTTTTAAAAAGAAAAAAATTGGCTCAAATAAACTCTTATAAAAATTCTCAAGCCCTGGTCAGTTTGGCTCAGAGGTTAAAGCGTTGGCCCGTGGACTGAAGGGTCTTGGGTTCGATTCCTGGTCAAGGGCACATACCTGGGTTGCAGGTTCGATTCCCAGCCCTGATCAGGGCCATGCGGGAGATAACCAATTGATATGTCTTTTTCACATTGATGTTTCTTTCTCTCTCTCTCCCTACCCCCCTTCCACTCTATCTAGAAATAAATGGAAAAATATCCTTGGGTAAGGATTAACAATAAATAAGTAAATAAACAAATAATAACAAAAAAACTTCTCGCCCTGGCCAATTTGGCTCAGCGGTTAGAGCGTTGGCCTGTGGACCAGAGAGTCCCGGGTTCAGTTCCCGCTAGGGGCACATACCAAAAAAAAAAAAAAAAAAAAAAAACTTCTCAAAACAAAAATGAATAAAAAGCCTCAGTATTCTAAACAGTCCAGAGATTTATTCTGATAATTTAGTGGCAATTTCGGGTACAGTTTTATATTAATAAATACTTTTAGTAGGATCTGATAATAAACAAGGCACTTTCTTTCTTGAAATGCGAACTAGTATCTGTCAGTTTCCTTTCTTTGCTAAACAGCCAGAAGTGAGAAAACAAGTGGGTCCCCTAGCATCTAATCCCCTTTTGTGTTTATATCTAATTTTTGACACAGGCCTTTGATAAAAGCCATCAACTTAATACATCCATGAATATTGTTGTGGGAGTGCCTATTACTCTGTCCATATAGATTTCCAGCTCCTATTTGCCTATTCAATACAGAACTTTTGTTCCAACAATATCTTGATCTCCAAAATACATGGTCCTAGTACTACAAAAAGAACAGCAGCAAAAGGCAACATGTAAGTTACTACTGCCTATATGACAGCAAAAACTTAAACAGTCTCCCTTCCTCCAAATTAAATATCAATACCATAATTTTCCTAAAGTATAACTCTGATAATGTAGCTTGACTAAAAATCTTGAATGCCTTTTCAGTGTCTACTACGCCGACTTTAAGAGGCAACTTTTTCCTAGCTAAAATGTTTAATCTGAATCTAATAATGAGAAACAAACAGAACAATGCAGATTGTGGGGCATTCTAAAAGGCAACTGATCTAGAAGCTGCAAAGACGCCAATGTCAAGCAAGGGGGAAAAAAGTGGCAAACAGTTCCAGATTAAAGTAGACTAAAGAATCATGTTAACCAAATACAATGCATGATCTTTTTTTTTAAAATCCTCACCGGAGGACATTTTTCCATTCTTTGTTCAGGTAGAGTGGGAGGGAGAGAGAGGAAGAGAGAGAGAGAGAGAGAGAGAGAGAGAGAGAAACATCGACGTGAAAGGGACACATTGAGTGGCTGCCACCCGCACGACCAACCAGGGCTGGGTACAAACTGCAACCAAGGTACACGCCCTTAGTGGGACCCGAACCCGGGTCTCTCGGGACCGCAGGCCAATGCTCTAACCGCTGAGCAAAACTGGCCAGGGATAATGCATGATCTTTAATTAGATATTGAATTTTTAAAAAAATAGCTATAGAGATTGGGATCATGAAAATGTTCCATAATTAGATTATGGTGATGGCTACACAACTCTGTAAATACACTAAATCTATAAAACTGTATACTTTAAATGAATAACATTAATGGTATATAGTTTATATCTAAAAGTTATGTGGACTTTTTTTGGACAACTAGAAAAATATGAATATAGGCTATATATTATTTTACCAACGTTAAATTTCTTTGGAATACTGGAACCTTCAGACATTGTTGGTGGTAATGTAAAATGATGTAGCTGCTGTGGAAAACTTTTTGGCAGTTCCTATAATGTTAAACACAGTTACCAAATGATCCAACAATTTCCCTCCTACATGCATACTCAAGAGCACTGACAACCCATGTCTACGCAAAAACTTTCTAATATTCTCCTGCTATGCACAACTTTGTTTCTGCAAAAATGATTTTTTTCTATTCTTCGAATTTGTTCCTCTCTAACCTAGAAACCTTCTCTTCTCTCTGGTCCTTTTCATTTCAGTTCTGTTCTTCAATTCTCCCTCTTCTCATTCCCTAGGGCCCTTCTATTTTTTTTCTTATGGCATTTTATTTATAGAAAATAATTTATGCTACTAATTTTGGTTCCTGTTTTATAATATATTAGCAACTGTGAGACTTTATTTTGCTTAGCTCCGTTTGCATAAATATCTTTATTACAAAGATATTTCTAATGTCTTTTGAAACCTTTACTTATTATATACACAGATATCTCCGGCTTTCTAAACTCTCTTAATATTTGCTGTGACATGAAAAATTTATTACCCAGAATTAATTCTCTGAATTGAAAAGCCACTGTAACAAATATGTGTGTAACCTGCCAGTGAAAAAATTTAAGTTGCATCTAGGTCCAGGCAAAACATATATAAAATATATGAAAGAATACAGAGCTTCCACACAAGGAGACAGCCTTTTATGGGTCCCCATATTTGCTTCTGCCAGGAGCCGGAGGCCACCAACAACCAGGTTCTAATTTTGGAGGAATCTTTAAAACTGCAGTATAAAAAAAAAATTATAATTTTTATCCAGTGTTGTCATTTACTATATAATATATAAACCCAATAGGGGCTCACACAGTGTTACATGGTTATATAATTATGCTTTAAATACTGTTATACAGGTGTTTAAGAGGATTTTTATGATTTGGGGGAAATTGGTTATGGTTTTAGCTAGGCTGAGAACACATTTAAAACAACAAAATAGAGGCTTTGGTTTTCCAAAAGTGCACTATTTGTATGTTTTCAGGAATGGAATCAGTACAAATGCCAAGGGATGTCATTACTTAAAGAATGCAATTCCGGAGAGGTAAGGACTATTCTTAATTCGATTCAATAAATTCTTTTTATACACAGTTGCATCTAAGGAAATTATGTTCATGTAATAACATGCCAAGTGGAACCTGGCCAGGTTTTCCTACATAATTATATAATGTAGGCCATAAACTGGAAGGGAATGCAATGCCTCCTGTGGACTCTTGCCTATGAATGACCATGTGAAATCCCCCATGGTGGCACACACAGCAGGCTACTGCTAACACATGTCTCAACAAGTGCCCTTACCACTATGCAAATACATAGGGGAAGGGTCCAAATTATGTGGCTTTTCATTTATCCAAATTGTTCTCCATTCTCAGTGATCTGGGTTTATGGGTACACAATAATTAACATTGACTTTCAAAACTTGATGGCAACCTACAGCATAAAATATCTTACCAGCACAAAAGTAGCGGCACATACTTTAAATAGGTAATATATACATATATGGGTGTGTGTGTGTGTATAAATATATTTACATATAACATGCACATATGTAAAAATGTCAAAATATTTGGTGACTATTTGTGATACTCTGACATTTTATTCTGTAATTTAACTCTGATTTCAATTTTATTGTATTCTATTATTGTAAAAATGTTTATAATTCACAAAAATGATTCCATGACTATGAGAATATGATCTTCAATATGAAAAACTGATTTAAAGGGTATTTAATTATGAAAATTAAAAAAATAAAGTCCTGGGTTCTATTCATTTGAAACTGAAACACTTTTCTTAAAATTCTGATTTACTTTAATTGCATCTCTAATGCAAAGCTATATATAGACCAGTATTAAAACTTTTTTGTTAATCCTTACCAGCGGATATTTTTTCATTGATATATATATATATGTGTGTGTGTGTATTTTTAGATAGAGTGGAAGAGGGGGGAGAAACATCAATGTGAGAGAGACACATTGATTGGTTGCCTCCCTCAAGACCCCAACTAGGGCTGGGGGTCAAACCTGCAACCAAGATACAAGCCCTTGACCAGGAGTCGAACCTGAGACCCTTCAGTCCCCAGGCCGATACTCTAACCATGGAGCAAAATCAGCCAGGGCAAGACCAGTATTAAAATTTATTAGGACTGAACAATAACATTTTTCAAGGATAATATTCACAATATTTTTACTTTTCTATAACTTTGCTCCCTCAATTAGTCCTCTTTAAAAAAAAAAAAAGTTTTTATTGATTTTCTAGAGAGATAGAGAGAGAAATATCAATGGGAGAGAGAAACATTGATCAGCTGCTTCCCGCATGCCCCCTACTGGGGATTCAGTCCACAACCTGAACATATGCCCTGACTGGAAATTGAACTGGGACCTCTCAGTCCATGGGATGATACTCAATCCACGGAGCCACACCAGCAGGGCTCAACTATTTCTCTTTGTTCACAGTCCTTACTTTCTCATTGGGACCCTCCCTCTGCTTTCAAACATGCTCAGGTCTCACCTAACCCAAAAGGAAGAAAATAACAACATATGCGAACACTACTTCCTTCTCTCCTACACTCCCCCAGAAAACCACCTTCTTCTATCACTCTCTAACTTCTGAGTGGTTTTACTGATCTACTCTGTACTACCAAAGTTGAACAAGTGATTTACCTTGTTGCGACTATTAATGTGGCTGGGCTGTATACTTCAAGATTAAAACCGAACACCTCTGAAATGCTAAGGGCACTGCTTCTATCATCAAGCCTATTTTCCATTTAATTCTACAAAGAGTACTAGCCAAAACTACAACATCAAGCATTTGAAAGTCTTATTACTAAAAAAGATATGGTAATTTAAAATAATATTATTTCTTGATATAAAAGTATACTTAAGGTGCCCTGGCCAGTTTGGTTCAGTGGTTAGAGCGTCAGCCCGCAGTCTAGAGAGGCCTGGGTTCGGTTCCCGCTAAGGGTACATACCTTGGTTGCAGTTTGTTCCCAGCCCCAGTTGGGGTTGTGCAGCAGGCGGCCACTCAATGTGTCCCTTTCACGTCGATGTTTCTCTCTCTCCCTCTCTCCCTCCCACTCTATCTGAACAAAAATGGAAAAATGTCCTCAGGTGAGGATAAAAAGAAAAGTATATTTAGGTTAAAAGAAAAAATAAACAACTTATGCTTTAACTTGTAGTCTAAAATTTCTAAAGCCATAAATAAGTACTGTTGCTAAGTCATAATAAACTTTAATAAAATATATAATAATACATACACTATGTATTGCAATGTTACCTTTTATAAAATTTCAAGTAATTTTCATATTGGGGGAATACAGGAGTGAAGGCATATGTGTAGGAGACCTTAATTTTCACAGTACAACCTAAGATCCCATTATAACTACAACGTAAGATTTGCCACAATAGCTTGGCCGGTGTGGCTCAGTGGATTGAGTGTCATCCCATGGACTGAGAGGTCTGGGTTTGATTTCTGGTCAGGGCACAAGCCAGGGTTGTGGGCTCAATCCCCAGTAGGGGGCATGCAGGAGGCAGCCAATCGATGTTTCTATCTCCCTTCCCTCTAAAAAATAAAAACATATTTAAAAAGACAAAAAAGGCCCTGGCCAGTCTGGCTCAGCGGTTAGAGCGTCGGCCTGCGGTCCTGAGAGACCCGGGTTCGGTTCCCACTAAGGGCACGTACCTCGGTTGCAGTTTGTCCCCGGCCCTGGTTGGTCGTGCGGGTGGCAGCCACTCGATGTGTTCCTTTCACATCGATGTTTCTCTCTCTCTCTCGGTTCCTCTCTCTACCTCCCACTCTACCTGAACAAAAAATGGAAAAATGTCCTCGGGTGAGGACAAAAAATAAAAAAATAAAAAAATAAATAAAAAGACAAAAAAGATTTGCCACAATAAAAAGCATATTTGACAAAAAGTCATTCAGAGATACTGAAGAGAGTAAGCAAAAGAGCTCATTTCCTTTGCTAAGTGACTCATACCTCAGGATAACAAGATAGTTTCCTAATGTGTATGAGATAATTAGAGCTTAGAAATACAATTTTTTAATTTAAAAATTTGAATAGTTTACACATTCATATGGATTCAAAACTCAGAAAGTATAAAAGGAAAATTTATGTGATTATTTTTGGAAAACAGCAACAACAACAAAATCCCAAAGTTTTTTTTTATTCCCAATAATGTAATTAAACTTTAATATTCAATTAAATATTTTATAAAAGCCCTAATACCAATTATATTACAACCATAGTACAAACCCTACATAATTGTACAAATGGCAGGTATTCATACCATTTATTTTCTGTACCACACTATATATTTTAGCATCCAATTATATACATTAACTTTTGAACTCAGTATTTTGTTAAACCATTTCCAACCGGTGCCTGTAAGTATTGGCTTCTTATTAAAACTAAAAGCTCTTTAAGATAAATGATGTCATCATATACTATTTAAATACCCTCAGGTACTAAATAAATGGGTATATTAATTCAATAAACAAAGGGTCTATACTAGTTCACATCTACTGACCTTTTTAAAATACAGTCGCATATTTTTAAGCATGTTATTCTTACCTCTCACTGTTCTCTTCCATAGTATCTTGCATTTTGGAGGATAGTCCTGTATATCTGTCACCTGTCAGTTTTTCTTCTTCTAGCCCTATCCTGTTCCCATTGTATTTTTCAGTCATTATCTTGGTTGGTGAATGATCAAAAGCAGGACATAAGTCTTCTTTAGAAAGTTCTTTCCACCGTTTCTAGGTAAGGAAGAGAAATAAAAGCAAATGCAAACACTCAAACTTTGGTTTTCCTTAATATTAAAAGGATTTATGAATTGAAATTCTATGGCCAATTTAAGAAAACCCTGTAGTGCTAACAGATGACTACAAAAGGCCCTAATTAGCCCAGCCTGTGTGGCTCAGTGGACTGAGCATTGTCCAATGGACTGAGAGGTCCCAGTTCAATTCCCAGTCAGGGCACATGCCCGAGGTTGTAGGCTTGATCCCCAGTATGGGTGATGCAGGAGGCAGCTGATCAATGTTTCTCTCTCACATGGATGTTTCTATCTCTCACCCTTGCTCTCTCTCTAAAAAATCAATAAAAAAGTGTTAAAAAATATATAAATAAGTAAATAAATAAGGACCTCATTAAAATATTACTCATAGTAAGACAATTTTAGCCAAAGCCAGGTTTTGCGGGACTCCTAATCCACAGGTGTGTAACACTGGAAGCAGTGATCAAGATGGCACCTGAATGTAATATCCTTGTTCCTTGCTACTTGTCTAATCTAATGTAGAACCTACGGTGAGTAGGTCCTCATAATACCCAAGGACTGTATTTATTTATTTATTTATTTATTTATTTATTTATTTATTTAAATCTTTATTGTTGAATGTATTACAGATGTTCCTCATTTTTCCTCCATTGATCCCCTCCTCCCACTCCCACTTCCCTTCTGCTTTTCCCCACACTGTTGTCTTTGTCCATTGGTTATGCAAATATGCATATAAATTCTTTGGTTTATTTCTTCCAACCCCTCAATCCTCCTTCCCTTTGAGGTTTGTCAGTCTAGCAACCAATTTGTACTTCTTAATATCTTCATCTTTTTCACTCATTCCCCTAACCCCCCTCCCATCTGACAACCAACAAAATGTTCTCTGTATCTATGAGAATGTTTCTGTTCTGCTTGTTTATTTTGTTTGTACATTCAATTGTTGATAGATATGCATTCATTGCCATTTTGTTTGTTCATATTTTTTATCTTTTTCTTCAAGAAGACCCTTCAGCATTTCATACAATTACGGTTTGGTGGTGATGAACTCCTTTAACTTTTTCTTGTCTGGGAAACTCTTTATATGGCCATTGATTCTAAATGCCAGCTTTGCAGGATAGAGTAATCTTGGTTGTATGTTCTTGCTTTCATCACTCTGAATATTTCTTGCCACTCCCTTCTGGCCTGCAAAGTTGCTTTTGAGAAATCAGCCGACAGTCTAATGGGAACTCCCTTGTAGGTGACTAACTGCTTTTCTCTTGCTGCTTTTAAAATTCTTTGTCTTGAACCTTTTGCATTTTGATAATGATGTGTTTTGGTGTGGGCCTCTTGGGGTTCATCTTGTTTGGGACTCTCTGTGCTTCCTGGACTTGTATGTCTGTTTCCTTCACCAAGTTAGGGAAGTTTTCTGCCATTATTGTTTCAAATAGGTTTTTGATTTCTTCCCTCTCTTCTTCTGGCACCCCCAAGATGTGAATGTTGGCATGCATGAAGTTGTCCCAGAGGCTCCTTACACTATCCTTATTTTTTTTTTTATTCTTTTTTCTTTTTACTGTTCTGATTGGGTGTTTTTTGCTGCTTATATTCCAAACTGATGGTCTGCTTCTTGGCTTTCCCCATTCTACTATTCAATCTGTGTAAATTATTCTTTATTTCAGTTAGTGCCTCCTTCATTTCTGACTGTGCATTCTTCATTTCTGAATGGTCTTTTATGCTCTTGAGGCCCTCACTAAGTTCGCTGAGGTTCTCACTAAGTTCACTGAGAATCCTTATAAGCAGTATTTTAAACTCAGCATCTGTTAGGTTGCTTATCTCCATTTCGCTTAGTTCTTTTCCTGGAGTTTTGTTCTGTTCTTTCATTTGGGACCTGTTTCTTTGTCTCCTCATTTTGGCTGCTTCCCTGTGTTTGTTTCTATGTATTACTTAATGAGAGGTATGGGGTTAGCTGAGACCAGATGCTGCTTGTTTGAAAATATTTAGGAAAACCTGAAGGAGGATCCAAGACAGACCAATCCTATGGTTAAGCAACTGGCAACAGCTTGGGTGGGCATCAAAATTGGGTGGGGCAGGGCCTCAGGGAATTACCAGGATGGGGAAACAGTGTTAGCCAGGTTGCTGGAGTCCCAGATATGGTTGGCTGTCTGCTGCCCCCAGGGCAGGGTTCACCAAAGGAACAAAGGCCTCTGACAACACTTCTGTCCAAGAGAAATCCCCCTCTCCAGCCCTCGCTCCAGTGCCAAACAGCTCAGTTCTTCCCTGTATGTCTCTGGTGCCCCTCAAGCTGCCTCCCCTCCAAGCTTAGAGGGAGTTAGTCCAATATGTCCATGCGTAGGCCCTTTAAGAAGAGGTGCCTGGGGCTCCAGCAGCTAGCTGCAGCCTCCCTTAGCCTCAGTTCCGGCTGGTTTTTACAGCCAGAAGTTTTGGGGACTTCTCTTCTTGGCACTGGAACCCTGAGCGGGGCACCTGGTGCGGGATGGGGACCCCTTAGTCCTCTGGGAGGACCTTTCCAGCTGAGCTATCTTCCTAATTTTTATCTGCCACACGTGGTTTTGGGGCCAGCCTGTTGCGCCTCCACCCCTCCTACCAGTCTCGATGCAGCTTCTTCTTTAATTTCGTAGTTGTAGGACTTCCATTCAGCTCAATTTCAGGTGGTTCTGAATGATGGCTGTTCTGTAGTTTAGTTGCAACTTTGACGTGGTTGTGGGAGGACGCGATACCGCGTTAACCTACGGCGCCATCTTGACCAGAAGTCCTACCCAAGGACTTTAATTTGGTTGTCCCTACCAGGCATTCCAGCTCCAGGTAGCTAGCTAGCCCACCACTAGGTTACAGAAAACTCCTATAGCATGCCTATACTTCAAAGTATGCAGAATTTAGACCATGATTAAAAGAAATTAGATTTTCTTCATCTATGAAATAAGAATATCATCACCTACCTCAGAAGCCTGTTGTGATTAATAAGATAACATATGAAGGGGCCTAGCATCAAGTCTGGCAAACATTAGTCTCCTTTGCCCTTGCTACCACTATCCCTAGAGAGAGAGGACTAGGAAGAAGAGGTGCAGAGTATATCTGGGCCTCTGAAAGATGAAGGTAGTGACAAAGTACAGGCCAGAAAGGGAGAAGGTATGTATAACCTTGCCACATTGACCACTGTCTCTCAAGTCTTTCAATGCAGCTTCTTCTTTAATTTCGTCGTTGTAGGACTGGTAAGACAACCATCCATCTCCCTGCCAATAAAAACAGTGTAATAGAAGAGGTAGCAGAGAGAGCCAATGGTTTTGATTATTTATAACTTTAACACTAGCACAAAATGACTTGGCATAGATGGGATGGCTCTTTGAAGATCCTATCATGGAAAGATGAAGTCTCAAATATAATGAACAAGGAATTCTACAGCTATTGTCTCAGGATTTTAATGATTTTAAACAGAAAAGTAACAATGAAACTTATACTTTTCTGGAATGTAGGGAATGCTCACACTCTGAAATTACTCTGGTACAAAATAGCATTGTTAAAAACAATGCTTGTATATTTAGATTTTTTTAAACTGTGGAAAATTCATTGAGACACTGATAAACTAAATTCTAACTTGTCTCATTATCATATAATAGAGAATTAAAAAGGCATTTTACCACACTGCATGTTTCCTATGTGTCTATTTTATTAAGTTGCATATTAATGTATCTCTTTTTGTTTTATAGATTAAAAAAGACTTAAGAGAATGTAAAATTCTATAATTTGTAGTATCTGGAAGACAGTGAGTAGTACAATTTGGTTATAAGATGAGAGCACACAGAGCAGAACCCTGAGAGATGAGGCCAGAAAGTAAGCACACTTCAAGGACAGAGGTCTCTGAAATTCATTTGAGAAACAATGGGGTGGAACTAAATTCTCCTGAGCAAGGACCTAAGAGGACTTAAACCATATCCAGAAAGAAGATTTTGGCAACATTTGAGAAAATACTATAATGGAACATAAGACTAAGATCTTTTAACTTTAGATGATAGTCGTTTTTCTTTCTTCCCTTGTTTCAAATTTTTGTTACTCAGTCCAAATAGAGTTTTTATACTGAAGACAATGCAAGTTGGGAAAAAAGTTAACTAAGCACTTACTACACCCCACACTGTTCTAATGCTTTAAGTGTACTAGTTCTTTTTTTTTTTTTTAAATCCTCACCCGAGGACATTTTTTTCGATATTTTGTTCAGATAGAGTGAGAGGGAGAGAGAGAGAGAGAAACATCGACGTGAAAGCGACACATCGAGTGGCTGCCACCCACACGACCCAACCAGTGCTGGGGACAAACTGCAACCAAGGCACGTGCCCTTAGCTAGCGGGAACCGAACCCGGGTCTCTGCGGACCGCAGGCCGATGCTCTAACCGCTGAGCCAAACCGGCCAGGGCGACTAGTTCTTAATCCTCACAAGAACCTCAGGAGGTAGGTACTACTACTGTTCTTATGATACCCTTTTTACAGATGAGATGGGTTGAGAGAGTTTAAGTAACTTTCCCAAGGCTATGCAGCTAATGAATAATAGGGCCAGAATCTTTAATTTGTATTTTTTAATCCTCACCTGAGGACATTTTTGCATTTATCTTCAGATAGAGCGGGAGGGAGAGAGGGAAGAAGAGAGGGAGAAAGAGAGCGAGAAACATCAACGTGAGAGAGACACATCAAGTGGTTGCCACCTACACGACCCCAACTGAGGCCAGGGACAAACTGCAACTGAGGTACATGCCCTTAGCGGGAAACGAATCCGGGACTCTCTGGTCTGGTCCGCGGGCCAATGCTCTAACCGCTGGGCCGAACTGGCCAGGGCTAGGGCCAGAATCTTAAACCAGGTACTCTAGATTAACTACCCTATAACCCCTCGTGATTATCTGTAAAAAGCACACCAACGTCAGACACCAGATAGTTTAAGAAAGTACCCAATAGAAGTGTTAAATTGTCTCCAGAATTTATGCTGGTTAATTTCTGAAGTTTCTATCCTTTCTAAGACCTAATTATAGCAACTTGACCTTATTACTTGGACAAAACTCAACAATGTGAATAAATGAGATGATGTTAATAATCAAGTGTTATTGGACCACATCTTAGAATATGCAACAAATTCAGAATCTGTCAATAAGAAAAGCACTCAGCCCTGGCCGGTTTGGCTCAGCGGTTAGAGCCTGCGGTCCTGAGAGACCCGGGTTTGGTTCCCGCTAAGGGCGCGTACCTCGGTTGCAGTTTGTCCCCGGCCCTGGTCAGTTGTGCGGGTGGCAGCCACTCGATGTGTTCCTTTCACGTCGATGTTTCTCTCTCTCTGTTCCTCTCTCTCCCTCCCACTCTACCTGAACAAAAAATGGAAAAATGTCCTCGGGTGAGGATTAAAAAAATAAAATAAAATAAGAAAAGCACTCAGTAAAAAGGTGTGGTTGGGGTGTGTGTGAATTAATGCTGATTAAAAAAAAACCCAAAATGTCATTTTGCCATGTCTCTGGGCAGCAAACTCACTCAACTAAGCAGGCACTCCAAAATCACCTGTCTTAACTTGTAACTCCTTGTATATTTAGATTTTTTTTTAAACCCTGGGGAAGCCAACGAATCAACACTGCACTCAGCTACCACCTCATTCAAGCTCTAATTTTGAGGCCTAAAGTAGAGCTATCTAGACTGACAGGTTTTCATCTAATTCTACATTCAAGTTGAACCACGCCCCTGCATGTCATATGCTGCTTTGAGCAATGCCCCACACTGCCTGCAATCCCATGCATTTCTCACTAAAGAAAGCCTCTGGAAAAAGCAGTAAAATGATGTAATTAAACTTGAAACCCACTGTAATCTGTTAAAAGTATATCATTCCGTAAACAGTTTATAAGTAGTATCAAATTACCAGCCAGAAATCTAACACCCAATTCTGAATTGCCAAACTGGATTAGTTATTCTGTGAGGTTTACTGTCATCATTGATACTGGAAGTATACATATAAATTTAAATTAAGACTAATCCAGAGATACACAGGTTCAGGAAGTACCTCCACTCCCACTAACTGTTGTGCTTAAACTAGACAGAAGCTCTCTTTTTTTTCTTACAACTACTACATTTTCCCAAAAACTGGAGGCAAAGAGGAATTAGCTTAAGAATTTCATAAATTGGCTATCATATCCATATATATATAAAGAGAAAGAGAGACTTTTAAAGGTACAGTTAAATTTACTCAGTTTGGGGATTCTACATATTAAAAAGTAACTTTAGTTTTTTTTAACTAAAGTTTTATGATCTAAGATTTCAGGGAACTTTATGTCTCTTAGATTTGTGTTCTAAGCTAAAGTCCTAGTACAGCACTGTCCAATGAAATATAATGTGAGCCATATACCATCAAACCTTGGTTCTCAAATGTCTCCCATCTTGAACAATTTGGTTCTTGACCAAGTTGTTCATGAAAAAAATGTCTAAGCTATGGAATAAAACTTCCTTTTTCTGGTTTTTGACCTGACAACCCTTTCATGCTGATACCTCAGCAAGACAAAAAGCATCTCTCAGGCAACAAACAAAGGAGAGAATGCTTTTGTTGCTGGCAAAATCAATAATTAACACAATTTTAAAACACAAAGAGGCCATCAAGAGTGCTAATGTTGCTACGGGTATGAAAGTGCTCACAAAACAGCAGTCACAGGCAATTGCAGAGGGGGAAAAGTGTTGATTTGGATAAAGCAGTTAGCCAGTGATAACACTTTGGAAGCAATGCTGACCTCCTTCCTGAAAAGACACCCATGGAAAGGGTGCTAAAAGTGATTCTTTAAGTCTGGTAAGGGGTGGTTCAATAAACTTAAGAAAAGAAGTGTTTATTTATAGATTAAACAGTATATTAGACATGTACTATATATTAAGAAAGGTTAAAATGGGGAATCATTTGTGAGTCTGGAATGAATTAATTCAATTTACATTACTTTAAATGAGAAAAAAATGATTCGGTTTTCGAACAAATCACTTGTAGACTAGCCTTCTGGAACAAATTAAGTTTGGGAATCAAGGTTCCACTGTATATATATAATTTTAAAATGTCTAGTAGTCATGTTTTTTAAAAAGAAATTTTAGCTCAGCTACTGTGGCTCAGTGGATTAAGAGGTGCCAGTTCAATTCTGGGTCAGGGCACATGCCTGGGTTGCAGGCTCAATCCCCAGTAGAGGGTATGCAGGAAGCAGCTGATTGATATTTCTCTCTCTAACTCATGTTTCTATCTCTCTCTCCGTTCCTCTCACTCTAAAAAAATCAATAAAAACATTTTTTAAAAAAAGAAATTTTAACAGTTTTATTTAACTCAGTATTTTAAAATATTGTCAACTGGCCATGGCCAGGTGGCTCGTTTGGCTGTAGCATCTTCCCATGCACCAAAAGGTTATAGGTTTGATCCCCAGTAGTGGTGTGCATGGGAGGCCCATTAATGGTTTTCTCACTTTCTCTCCCCTCTTCTCTCTCTAAAATCAATAAACATATCCTTAGGTGAGGATTAAAAAAAACTATAAAAATATTGCCATCTGAAAATATTAGTATTTTTTAATTACTGAGACATTTTTACACTTTTTCTCCCTGTAGGTGACCTGGGCCTCAAGGCTAAGGCGACTAGATTTCATGCTCACGTAGGTCTCTTGGCTAAGGTGACTAAATGACTCCATTTTTATCAATGAATCTTCCTCAATTTTTCCAATAATAGGTTAATTACCCCAGAAGTAAAGGAATTTCGCCTAAGATTATAGTTGCCCTATGTGTTGGGAGGCATTTGCAGTTGAGTATCTGTATTTGCAGGCATTTGCAGGTACTTGTGAGCCTGCTGAATAATACTAATTTTGACTTCTGTAATCACTGTCACACCCACTACTGTACTGGTCCCCTGAGGGGGGGGATAAAAGGGAGATGGAGCTTCTGTCTTTAAAATCTGGACGAGAAAAAAAATCCCTGCTGAGGATCTAGGGAAGCTGTACCCACCCCTAACCTGCAGATGTAATGAAGTGCTCCTTTACAATTCAACTGTGCATCTCTGGATATCTCGTTGACACATTATAACATGTAATCTTCACATTTTGGTGTGTAGTTTACATTTTAAGCAGATCTTGATTCAGACTAGCCATATTTCAAGTACAGCTATCCCCACTTTCCAATAGATCACACCACTTTGCTTATACAGAAAGAGCTACATCAGTTCCTGCTTTCTCTGACTGAAAGAAATCTGAAGAGGATTTTTACTTTTGTGAAAACAGTATTCAGTGTTTGTTTTGCAGCCAGCTATCATACAGGCAATATGCATCCTGAGCAGTGAGAATATTACTGCTTTTATTACATGTTAATGTTATTTTGGGTTTCATGTGTTATTTGGTATGGTTTCGTAGATTAATTTTTTGGGTCTGAGAATGCTAAAAAATGTTTTCATATAAATTAATAGTAATTGTTTTTTGCCCTGGCTGGGTAGCTCAGTTGGTTGGAGCATCATCCCATACACAAAAAGGTTGTAGTCTTTATTCTCAGTCAGGGCACATACCTAGGTTTCAGGTTCGATCCCTGGTTGGGGCAGAGCTCTAATGTTTCTCTTTAATAAAAAGTATTTTTTAATGTTATTTAAAGATTCAAAAAAACTTTTCAATGAAACTTAAATATTTTATTGATAAATAAAATAGTTGGTCTTAAATAGTTCAAATAATAATGATCAGAACAAAGGTATTTAACTACTGATAAGTAAAATTGCTCATAAAGGGGACAGTGCGAGAGGATCGGGAGGAGGGTGTCAATGGGGGAAAAAGGAGAAACATCTGTAACAAAAATAAATTAATAAAAAAATTTTTTAAAAAAAAGAGAAATTCCTCAAGAATATTTTAATATATCTGAAAACTATATCTTTTAACTACTCATACTTAATTCCATCATGACAAGATGGTCTGCCCTAAGTATTAAAAGAAGGCTTATTCAGAATACTGTTTTAGCTAGTAATAGCAGAAATTAAAGAGCTAGTAAATGTGTTCATATAAGAGAAATAAAAAGAAATTCTATCTACTTATGTCCAATACTGTATGATTAGATCACACAAGAAATGGGGATCTGTTGTTAGTTTGTTTCTACTTTACATTTACATTAGTAACTGATGGTGACACAACTTCTGATAATCAGCCACTGAACTTAGCTTTTGCAAATGTGGAATAAGAATATTTTCATAAGAATAAAGTTGCCAACCTGAGAAAATATAACATTCTATTGGAATTTTATTATGTCTGCTATAAGTACTCAAGTTGCTCATTGTTATAAAATGAAATATCTATTACATAAACTAAGTATTCTATAATCTCAGATCAAGTTTTTAATAAGTAAAAGTACCTAAATTTTCTGGTTATTTTAACAATTAAATGCTGAAACCCTTCTTAGGTGAAAATTTTATTTTCTTTAATGAAAACTTGTTCCCAGTAGGGCTTTTGAGTAAAAGGCAGGATTTCACATGAGGCTGATATATATATATATATATATATATATATATATATATATATGAGCTTAAATTTTATAATTTTAAGATGGCCAACTGGATTTACCACATTAATGGAAATATGCTTTTTGGAAGGAAGGGGGAATATAAGTGCTTAAATGGACTGCAGTTATTTGATGCTAATCACATTTATTATGCAGGTATTATTTATCCCCTGAAAAAGCTTACCTGTATATTTGAATCTCCCTTTATAAATTTTGCTCCTTCTATTATAGTCATATATGAAAATCTGAGTTGATCTGGTGTCTGAATAAGCCCCATTCGATATTTTCTCATATTCAGTAACAGTTGTTTAATGTTAATATCATCTCCTTTTTCCATCTGCAAGAAAGGTAGAAAGTAAACTATTCAAGCCTTTTGTTGTTTGAGTCTAGGAAAGAGAAGCAATGCAGGATAAATGCTAAGAGCTTCGTTACATCCTATGTTCTTTCTCAAAAACAAGGACAACCTATCATTGAAGCTATAACTCTATGAACAAAACCAACAACCCTGACCTGACTGACACCCATACCCTCCCACCCCCGCCACCCGCCTCAACTGTTCAAGTAGTAGATGGAGGACTTTTGATTCTTTAGCTGATTCACAATTGATTCCAAATCGATCACACAGCAACCTCATTCACTTTGGCTGGTGTTTGGTTTAAGGAAGGATTTATAACCAGTTAATTAATTTATAACCAATTAATTTTAATTTAAAAATTTTTTTTTCTTTATTGATTTGAGAGGAAGGGAGAGGGAGAGAGAGATAGTAACATCTATGAGAGAGAGCACTGACTGGCCGCCTCCTGCATGCTCCCCAACTGGGGATCAGGCCCACAACCCAGGCATGTGCCCTGACTGGGAATTGAACCGGCGACCTCTTGATACATGGGTTGACGCTCAACCACTGAGCCACACCAGCCAGGCAGTTCTGGTTTAATGTAAAGAAAAATCCACTGAGAGTATTAGTGCTGTTTTTCTTTTTCTTTTCCAAAGAAGATCTTGGCAGGAATAAGCTTTTTTCCCAGTGCCCTCCCACCTTCATGTCTGTGTACAGTAGCCATCTGGAGATGGTGAAGAACGAAGACAGAAAGAGCCTAGATCCACAAAGACACTGGTGAGCCACTGGTACCAGCTCTGGACTACTGATCTATTATTATAACTGCCATACTACCCCCCAAATGAAAAAGAAAAAAGTTGTTGAAATTACGTTTAACAGAAACAGGCACAGACATGATTCAGTTTTAATATGTATCATTAACAGAATAGACACTAGAGTTTTAAACATGTCAAAGTTCACTTTGATGTATCAATCCAATTTCTGATTGAAGTATACTATATATAGGCAGAGTAGTAATTCAGTAGATGTGTTGAGACTCAACTGTTCTTATACCCGATGAGTACAGTTGCAAGAGTGTAAATGAAATTTTTAGGTTTTTCCAAAAACAAGGCAGAATTTTCAATGTGAAAAACACAGTTCTAGGATACTGATATTAGAGTTTACTTCTGCTGATGGAAACAATACAGAAGTAAACAAGCCTCCAATAGCCAAAAAACTGGAAACAACCCAAATGTCTACCATCAACACCTGTCTGCTAGGCAAATGAGTAAACAAATTGTAGTACAGCCTATTGGAATACTTCTCAGAAATAAAAGGGTACAACTACTGATGCATGCAGAACAGGAATCTATCTCAAAATAATTTTTGAAGTGAAAGAAGCCAGACAAAATATAGATCCTATGTATTTTATTCACAAAAATTCTAGAAAATGCAAATTAAATTATAATAAAGGAAAGATCAGTGGTCACCTTGGAGCAACAGAAGGGAGGTAGTAGAAGACAAGGAGGATCAGGAGGAAAGAAAGACATAAAAAAACTTTTTGGAGTGATGGATATCTTCATTATTTTGAGTGTTGTGATGGTTTCATGTCTATACATATAAAAAAAAACTTATCAAAATATAATCTTAAAATACATATCAATTAGATTTCAATAAAGTTGTAACCCAAAAAAACCAAAAACCAGTAAACAAGCCTCAAATATGTCATAAAGAAGCACTTACCAGAACAAGACAGGTATCTACCAGAGAAAAGGTGCCTGACCGCCCAATGCCTGCACTACAGTGGATCACTGCAGGCCCATGTTCAGGATTCAAGGAACCAGATTCTCTCACTTTAAATAAAAAATTGAGGAATGAAGCTGGTGATTCAGGGACTCCAAAATCTGGCCAGGTAGTATAATGAAAGTGAGATATTGTTCTGGTTTCACCACTCTAAAAGGTAAAAATGAAGGAAGAAAAGTTAGTTTTAATTTTTTTTCTTTTAAAAAACAACTTCAGAGAGATTATGGATTTTGTGTAATGCTTTTAATTCTATGGAATTTATGTACTGTCATTTTTCCTTTGGTTTTTTATAATCATTTACACAAGTTTGGAAAGATTTTATTTAGAATTTAGAATATATTAATAATAGCTAACATTATTTTACAGGTGTGTTCCAAGCTTTTGATGTATTGACCATACAATAATCTTATTAAAAACCATTTTCCAGATGAGAAAACTGAGCCAAAAGTTTAAGTACTTTATCCCAGGTCACATATTTAGAAAATGGCAGAGCCAGAATTTGAAAAAGCAGTCTGTTATAGCATTTGGGTTTTTAACCACTAACTTGTACCATGTATGTTGTGAATTGTTTTAATTCATAATGATGACGAGTGGATTCTTTTTTCCCTATTTTAAAAAATGTCTACTAGTATAATTTTACATTCTTCAATGGTTTCCCTTTTAAGAGAATTCCAAATTTATTTTAGGAACAATTTTTTCCATTCTATGAATTATCTTTTAGATTCTGCTTATAAAGGTATAGAAGCACAACTCAAGAATTAACTTCTAAAAAATAATCTTTACATTTTTAATTGAAATTGCTCTTTTAATTGATACTTTTCCCCACAGTAATAAATTTCTAGTCCTAAAACTGTTTATATGCCTTTGCTGATATGCTAAAATGGTTCACCAACATGCTAAATGTTTCCTGTTGTCTCTTAAAGCCTGCTTAGCATTCACTATCACTTCCTGGATATTCCTGATGATCTTATATTTCTGACTAACTCATTATGAAAATGTTCCTTAGCTTTTGCCAATTGCCTTTTGCCCCAAGGAGCACTTCTGTGCCTTATATGCTTTACTTCTGTAAACAAAGCAATAATCCTCTAACATGTCTTTGCACAATTTTTTCAGTTTTATTATAAGACTTTTTTGGAGGGAGAAGCCATAGAAGCAACATAAAAAGCCACGATATTTTTAATGGTTATTAGCTAAACATTATTACTATAATAGCATCCTGCTTTCAATACAAATTTTCAAAACTAAAGTTAGCTTTCATTAAAAAATAAGTAAAATTTCTTTTGTAGTAGAAATTAAGAGTCCTAAGTCCCAGACTATTATATCAGTTATAAAACTGATAAAATAGTGCAGAAATTTAAAAAATATATTTTTAAAAGTTTAGTTATATAGTTTTAGTGACTAACTGTTCTCAATATACAGCTTTCATAATTTCAAATACACCATGATCCACAGGCTCTCAATATACTGGGACACTATAAGATTTCCCAATTACCAATAAAAATGATCACTGTGGTTACTAGACTTCAAAACATTTCCAAATTAAGTATGGTATGTGAAAGAAGCAGATTCTAAAACATATATACTGATGGGTGGGGGTGGGGGGGGAGAGATAAACCACAGAACTTATATGCATGTATGCGTAAACAAGGACATAGACAATAATGCTGGGGGGGGGGGCATCTGTATTAAAAATAAATAAAACATTAAAAAATAAAAATAAAATCATGTTTTCAAAGAAAAATAAATAAAAGGTATATACTGTATGATCCTACTTATATGACAGTCTGTGAAAGGCAAAATTATAGGAACAGAAGCAGCTCAGTGGTTTCGATGAGCTGGGAATGAGGAGTAGGGCTGATTGTGCATAAGCAGCATGAGAAAATTTGTGGGGGGAATGTTGGTGGTGCTAGAACTGTTTTGTATCTTCATGGGGGAGGGTGTTATACAACTAAATGCATTTTTGTGTGTGTATGTGTGGTACTTGCCCCTAGCAGGAACTGAACTCAGGACTCTCTGGTCCACAGGCCGACGATGCTCAACTTCTGAGCCAAACAGGCCAGGGCCTAAATGCATTGTTAAAACTCAGAACTGTACACCAAAAAGATTGTATCTTACTGTATGTAAAAAATAAATAAATTTACTGTATTATAGAAAGGTATTTAAAACATTCCTAATTAAAAAGGATTTTACAAAGTCATAAATAGACAGGGACCAACCTGACAACTACCTGCTGTAGTCATTAGCTATCATGAGTGCTGACTGTGCACAGCAGAGCCAGACTTGATCAATGTGAGTTTAAACCAGGTACAGTGTGAAGCTGCTGGATCTCCCTGGTCTTGAGGAGGGTGGAGTGGCCCCAAGACCCTGTTTGCATTCGAGCTGTGCTCCTTAGGGTGTGGCCCAGTGCCCCTAAGTGGTGTATGCTCAATTATTGCATCACCTTCTGGCTCAAAACCTATGGTTACCTCACAGTCCTAAACGACTGCTTGCCTTTTATTTATTTGCTTGTATGATTTTGGCTCAAACTAGTGGTCCCTTGTGTTTTTTTTTGTTTGTTTGTTTGTTTGTTTTTTTTAATTCAGGTCATGCTGTCTGAGATACTCAAAGCCAGTTCCCAGAAATGCTCAGGACTATTTGTATAATATAGTCTTCTACACTAATAGATTTTTAAAAATCAGTCTTTTTCTTCTCCTACCAGACTAGACTACAAAACTTCTTTATTAATTTACTCCTACTGAAAAAACAAAGATTAAAAAACACAGCTCACAAAACCACATAAATCCCAAAAGACCACATAAAGTAGTAAGAGCTTTATGCTTACTCTGTGGTATAAAAGAAATGTTTATATGCATGACTGGACCCCCTTTCCCTCTTTTTCATGTGGAGAAAAAAGGCTTGCCAAAGGATAGAACTAAAACAAAATTAATCTTTAGTCCAAACAAGCTCTACTTTTAGACTTTAGAATATTTGACAAACTCCGTATTTCAAAACTGGAAGCACCCTTTCCTTCTCCTAAGTCACCAAGACACATCAGTTTTCATTTGGTGATGCTCAGTCGGTCCCTTCCATCCCCTTCCTGCAGTACCTCACACCACACACATCAACTGGTTTGCATCCACAATTGCACAGCTGTTCCCTTTTCTAGCTGCTCCCTACAAGCCTGCCATGTTTTCTCTGTAAAATGTTGCATTATGTATACCACACTCTACATAAAAATGTCAGTGGTTCACTATTCTTTTTAAAGCAAAAATCTCATTAACATTTTTAAAAGGAGAATTCTACATTTAAAGTCTTTAAATAAAAGTATCAAACTCATTATACAGGGTTGGGCAAAAGTAGCTCAAAATTGTTTGTATGGAAAATAATACAATAATGAGTAAATAATACAAGAATAAACTCTGTGCCCGACAGTGGATTGAGTGTCGTCCTATGGACTGAGAGGCCCTAGAGTTCAATTCTCGGTCAGGGCACATGCCCGGGTTGTGGACTCGATCCACAGTAGGGGCCTGTAGGAGGCAGCTCATCACTGTTTCTATCTCACATCACTGTTTCTATCTCTCTCCCTTCCTCTCTCTAAAGAAAAACATATTAGAAATAAATCAATAAATAAACTCTGTGTTTCACATACTCACCACAGTAAACCTACTTCTGACCTACACTGTATATGGAAGCTGGAAAGACAATCTATAAAAGTTGAACAGGTTTAAGACAATGGGAAGCTGATAGGCTTTATGGCAATGGCAATTTAAGTGTATGCTGTCTAAAGAAGCCATTTAACTATTATTTTTATCATCAATATACAAAAGATCATATATTTTCTAATTAATATTACAAAATCTAAATAGCTCTATGGCTCCAGGCCTAATTATTTTTACAATTTTAGCATATATAGAGGTACTAAGATTATGATTCCAAAAGACTTTCATGAGCCCCAATTTCATCACCTATAAATAGGGTTAAAAATAGTACTTACCTTACAAAGCCATTGTGAGAAACAAATGAAATAATAAATGCAAGGTGCCTAACATATGCTTGCAAATAATAAATGCTTAATAGACATTATTTCTGAAACTATTATACTCACTAACTGCCTTTATCGTAGCCCCTAACAGGCTCAAATCAATTGTAAAATTGTCCATATTTTCAATTTCTTCACTTAATATTTCCTCTGCACCTGAAGAGTAGCTAAGTTTGTTAACTCTATCTCCTAAATACAGATTTAATATACCAAATCTGTGCTCTCATTGTCACTACCTTAGTTCAGTTTCATTATTTTTGCCAGAAGCATTATACTGTCCATGTTAAATTTTACTTACTTTGATTTATTTTGAAAGATTAATAGAACTCACCAAATCTGAAGGAGAGGAGAGTGACAGGAATATTTAGGCATGGGGTTTTCATTCTAAGCAAAGAAAAAAGCAATACACAGAGGCATGGACCCCCAAGGAAAAACCTATGTGAGAAGTATAACTCTTTTAGCAAGAACATATCTGAGTGCCTGAGGAGATTAGGCAGGTAGACAAGGACCAGGATGGGCTGGGTCTGACTTCTGCACTGCCCACGGAAGGTTTGTAGAGCATGGTGGAAGGATCATACCTGTGTTTGAGAATAACCACTCAGGTGTAGTATGGTTAACAATGTACTCAGTACAATGGCAGAGGGGAACTCAAAAGTGACAGGTAAGGACTGTGCCCATGGGGACTTGAAAACCTTGTTATATGGAGTCAAAATATATAATACACACACACAGTGAACAAGCCAGTAAAATGGTAAAATTTAAATTATGGCAAGAAGCTTAAGGCTGTCAAAAATAAATGCATCATAGATATATTAAGATCTAAGTAAAAAATGGGGCACAAGTGGTAGCACTTGAAGGCTATAAATAGGCTGAGAAGAGAGGAGGACATTCCAGATGGAATAAACCTTTAAGCTATTTTGCCTCAAATTCCAGCTAAACCATCATAATACTTAGGCACTCATCTGTTTTGAGCAAATCTACAGAAACAGAGAAATAGAAGGCCAGTTGATGGTATCAGAATAGTATTCCTGGAACTTGATAAACATAAAGCTGGCAACAATAATGGAAAATAGTGAAGGGCAACTAAAAAGAAGAGCCTAAAAGACAAATAAGTACTCTTGATGATCTTATA